ACGAGCACAAGTGCCATCCAGATAAACTTGGGAGTAAGGACGGCTAACAGGAAAGCCAACTTCTCAATCTCTTTTTTCTCGCATTCACTTTTTCTTATATTTTGGATCGCGATATTTACCATGACGGTTTTCTTCCGGTCTGCCAATTCCATTTTTTAGTTGGGCTAATCATTCTTTTTTTACGCGACTAGAAAATAATCTTGTGAACAATATTTTCTGCAGTTGCTCTGTGGTCTTGAAAAAACCTTCGCACCAAATCTAAGGTGATGTTTTTCACAATTTCTTGCACTTCTTTGTTGGCCAATCGATCCTTGGGTCGTCCAGTGAATTCAGGTTCAGTCATCTGCACCGCAACAATAGCCGTTAAACTTTCTAATACGTCTTCTTTGAGAATATTAACTTTTAAACCTGGGTATTTTTCCTTAATTCATTCCTGGCAAGCCAAAGTCAAACCATCTTCAAAGCCCTCAGCATGAGTACCTCCGCCCGCTGTACTAATGTTATTACAAAAAGATTTGATTATGTTCTTGTGGTATTCTTGGTTATACTGGAAAGCAAAATTAAGGCAAAAATAATTTTCTGGGTCAGGAGAAGTTCATTTTTCGACACAAATTTCCGTGTTTTCCAAAGTCTTTTCTTGGTTGATGGCTTGGACTCAACCAGCCAAACCGGTTTCAAAATGATAGACAGTTGGCTCGGCTTCGGGATTGGGAAAGAAAAGCAAAGTAAGCTTGGGATTAAGGTGAGCTAATTCTTGGAGACGATTTTGAATATTTTCAGTTTTGAAGTGAGTAAATTCACGAAAAATTTTGTGATCCGGAGTAAAGACAACGGCAATACCATTTTCAACTTCTGGGGTATCAGTAATTTCGGAATTTACCAAAATACCTTCTTGAAACTCGCAAAATTCCGTTTGTCCTTCTCTACGGCTTCAAACTTTTAAACTTGACGATAAAGCATTAACCGCTGCCACTCCTACTCCGTGCAGGCCACCCGAAGTTTTGTAAACTTTATTATCAAATTTGCCCCCCGAGTGAAGCACAGTAAAAATAGTTTCCAGGGTGCTTTTTTGAGTTTCGGGATGGATTTCAATCGGAATGCCCCGCCCATTATCTTCAATAGTAATAGTTCTTTGGTCAGACGAAAGAATTATTTTGACTTCACTGCAATAGCCAGCGACGGCTTCATCAATCGAATTATCAATTACTTCTTGAAAAAGATGATGCCAACCTGGCTCGTCGGTTGAACCAACATACATTCCTGGTCGTTTGCGAACCATTTCAATACTTTCTAATTCTAAAACTTGAATGTCTTTGGCACTATACTGATGCTTTTTTCCTCTTCTGTGGTCATGTGTTAACAAATTAAAACTCATTAATATTTTTTTTAGCAAATTAATCCTTTCAAACAAGAGAAAAAAAATCGCCGCTCAAGAAAAAAAACTTCCAATCACTAATCCCAGATGCTCCCGAACCCCAACCTACTTCGGAAACTACTTCTTGAACTACGCTTTTTTGAGTAGGCTTTTTGGCGATAATTTATTTTGGTTGAGATAAATTCTGAGCCTGATACGAAAAACCCGTTAAGCAGGAATGAGATTGAGATGAGGAAGAGGATTAGATAGGGCAATGTTTGGTTGTAATAAACTTACTAAAATAAGTGTCAACATGTTACCACTAGTTCCAAGTAATAATTTTCTCTTTATTCCTTAACTATAAAGATATTAACTTTTATAGTTGCTAGTTATTAAAAAGTAATAAATATAAATATGTAAAAGAGCCATGACATTAACAATCAAACAAAAGAAAAAAATTATTGATCTCGACTGAGAGCAATGAGACCGCACAAAAACCGACATAACTAGCGAAGATTTGAAAGCCTTGGACATAAGCAGAGAGATTTTTCAAGCCTTAAAAACTCCGAATTTGGGTCGAGTTCAGTTTTGAGATATCATCCAAAAAATAACTAGCAATAGCAATTGCGATCTGAAAATATTAGAAGAAATGTTGTCAAAATTGTATAACGCTTTAACTGATAAGCAACGCACGGCCATTTACGAAGAAATGGTCGAGGCAAACTATTTTCTTTTGGAGTGCGAGCAAAGAAAACTAAAATCTTTGTGGCAAGCGGCTAGCGTAGGAAGAAAAAAAGTTATGTGAAAAGAGTTATTTGATCACAACTGAGCTAGTGACCAAATTAAAAAAAAAGATTTGGATAAAGCCGAAGAAATACTCAGACAACTAATCCAAAAAAGCCCAAGTTATGGTCTGCCAGGAAATAATACTCCGGCCCGGCAAGCCAAATTACAATGATTTCAAGAGCAGTTAGATCAGTTCCGAGGTTCGGCTAGAAAAGAAATGAAAACAAGATTGGAGATTCTTCACGAGGTTGTTTCGGAGTTAAAAGAGGGTCTTGGTAAAGAAGTGAAAAAATGACAAAAATCCCAAGAAGACTTAACTGGAAGAGAGCCATTGCGAGCACCAAGCATTCGCGAAGGAATAGAGAGAATGGAACTGTTTAGTAAGGAAATAACTACCGAAATGCAAGCATTACAAAAAGAATTACAAGTTTTTTGGGAAGGATACAACGGAAAATTTCGGGAAGGAATATTAGGGTTAAAAAATTTACAAGAGAAATTTCAAGCCACAGGAAAAAAATTATGGGACCGGGCCGAAATTGAGGGAGTGGAAGAATTTTCTCTGGAAGTGGGAACTGAAACGATAGAGAAAATGGGGAATTTATATTCTTTGCTAAGTCTACTTGTGGATTCATTTGGAAGGAAGCCAGCAACAATACGTAGACTTAACCATTGGTTTAAATAAATTTTTTGTTAAAGGTTTGGCCGCCTGACAATGGGCCGATTTTCTCCAAACGGCCGCTACCTTTTTAGATGCTGAAAAAAAGAAAAATTAGTAAAAGTATTGGAAACTTGTCGAATACTCTATAACGATTTTCTAGCCGAAAGGAGAGATAAA